CCCCCCCCCCCCTCTCCATGAAGACAACCAATGCAGACTACCAGTCATTAGACTGAGTCTGGACATTCGTATGGCCTGGTTATGGTTCTTTGCAGTGGGCACTGGTAGTGGAAATAGTTCTGTGCAACAGCAGAATGTGCTGTTGCTCGCTGGGGGTGTGTGGTGGGGATATGTTATGTTATATTATTTTTTTCCCTTCCAGGCCCAGGCTGGCTGGCTCCAGCATGACTTTGGACACCTCTCCGTCTTCAGGAGCTCCAGATGGAACCACTGGGTCCACAAGTTTGTGATTGGCCACCTGAAGGTGAGTGTTAAGCCTGGAGTGTGGCTGCCAGAGACCCGCGAGGGAGACTTTGCAGCCCCAAATCATCTCATCAGGAGAAGGAAGGGAAAGCAGTGGAGCTGCTAGGGAGGGAGGACTAAGGGCTTGAGGCCCAACTCCTTTTGGTCACCGTGTTTTCGCAGGGAGCACCAGCCAGCTGGTGGAACCACCTCCATTTTCAGCACCACGCCAAGCCCAACTGCTTCCGGAAGGACCCCGATATTAACATGCACCCCCTGTTCTTTGCCTTGGGAAAAACACTTTCKGTGGAGGTGAGTCCTGGAGGAGTCTGGAGATGTTACAGGTTGAGGATTAAAATTCAGAGAAATGGGAGACTTGTGACCAACATAAGTCATATGGTTATCGCTGGTTAGCGAGTTGCCTCGGTATTTCAGGAATTTTTCCAGAGAGTGCTGCTTGGCYTTAGTGCCCTTTGCAAAAACAGAAGAAACAGGATCCTGATGTGTCACCAGCTTCCATATGTTGTGACAGGTTTTTGTTTTGCTTTGTGTTTTCTTGCCCTCATAAGATCTTGCCGTGGATTGAAATTTTTCAAATTTATTCTCAAGGTTAAAAAAAAATCCTAAAACAAACAGAGCAAATAACATTTCTTTCTGTAAAGCTAGAATTGCACCTAGAGAGTGTCCTTTATATTGTAACAAACACTGCTTAAGTTGACCTCCTGTTTCATAGAATGCTATTGTACCTTTCACTAGCTCCTGATATTCCTTAGTAATACTTCTGAGGTTCTCACATTCTTAAATTTTTCATTGAACATTTTTGCTGTTTGAAAATAAGATTTATCACAGTTAGATGTTCATACAGCTCTGAGAAGAGGCTTGCAGTTGGATGAGGATACGATTGCAAGTTGTTCTCTTTAGCTCTGAGATCAGCTTGAGTAATTGCAGTGTTGGGTAATTGGGGGGTAAGAGCAAGAGCTATATGGAAATCTTACATTTACTGATTCAAACAAGCTATTTCAGTGGTAGCAGTCTCTGAGTGGGTGTCAGACCGGGTCCCATCTGGGGATAAGTAAAAGATAAGAATCATTTTGTTGGAAGAAGGAAGAACTTAAGCTTCCCACTGCCATGCAGGTCCAGGTAGAAGGAGCTTGCTGGATTAGAATGACCTATGTGTAAAATAATTYGATAAGATTTATATTAAATTTGCAGTCTAAATATTTCAGGTGACTAAAAATGAAATGAAATAAAAATGAAAAAAAAGAATTACAATTTCTGACAGGTGGCATAGAAGGAATAAGTATTCCTTTCTGTGACAGAGTAGGTAGGAGTGTATGAGTGGGTCTTCTTATCTCTCCTTGAGAGCTGAGTAGCTYGCTTCTTTTTACAGCTTGGTGTAAAGAAGAAGAAATTCATGCCCTACAACCACCAGCACAAGTACTTCTTCATTAGTAAGTAACCTACCCTTGTGCAGTCCTGTGCATCTGCTCTGCCCTCTCCTCCTGTGTTTCATCTCACTTCAGCAATAAACGTCTCTGCAATCTCTTTGTTCCCCTCCAGTCGGTCCCCCAGCTCTGCTGCCTCTCTACTTCCAATGGTACATATTCTACTTTGTGGTGCAAAGGAAGCAGTGGGCGGTAAGTGAGCTCCCTTTTGACAATGAGGTCTTCTTATAGATTTGTGTCTGTGCAGGAAATGGAGCAGTATTGGGAGAAACTCAGAGATTCGTAGCCGATCACTGCTTCTCTTCCTGCCAAGGAGGGAGGGAGTGTAATCTGGGAAATATTATTTGCTGTGGGAGATTAGATACCTTCTAACTCAGCACCTCTCCGAAAAAAAAAGATGCATTCATACTGGTAACAAAAGGTGTTACCTTTTGTTTTGCCCAAGATCAGGGTGGTAAGACTATGTGAGTATCTGGAAGTTTTCCTTCTTTTGTAGAGGTGATGCAAAATTTGTGCTTCTTGTAACACCAAAATCTGGTTTAAGGTGGAAGGGACACCCTGGCCACGCTTTTTTTTTTTTTTTTTTTTTTTTAACAAAAAATGGAAAAAACTATGGTCATGGGAAAATGCAAAAGGTAAAAATCAGGGCTATTTGGAGCAGGATTCAATGATGGGATTAAAAGATCCCGTTTTTCGTAGTCCTCCATTCCTGTGTTAAGTAGATTCTCATGATCCAGTTCCTTGCAAGAATCTACTGTTGCCCATAGCAAAGGTCTTGCCCTATCTACCTGCCAGGGGAGAGCCCCCTATCTCATTGCCCCTTTATGCTCTTGGGCCTCTTTTTGTAGCTGAAGTCCAAACTCTGCAGCAGTTCCATGGAGCAAGGGGAAACACAGTGACTTCCAGAGATGTTAGGGAGAGAGTTTGCTTGGGGAAAATACAGAACCATCATCATGGGGAAAATGAGAGACCACAGGAAACATGAAGAAGAGCAAAGAGGACGAGATGGAGATAAATTAGAGCACTTTATCCCATTCACCAGCTCGGTTTCTGTTTTCTGCACTGCTTTTCTTCTCTTTAGATAAAATCAGACAAAACGTGGTACTTCAGAGATGTSCTCTCTTGTGTTTGGCCTAAGTTGGGCTCTTAAGACATGAGAACTCAAATGCACAGGGATGGGCAAAGATTGCATGTGATGGGGAGGAAAATTACCAAAAAATGATACTATGGGGGTTGTTTTTAAAGGGAATCCACATAGAGAGGACAGKGAATTGGGGAGCCACTAATTCTTCTTTTTGATTGAGTCTTATCTGTTCCCTACATTATAGGACCTGGCCTGGATGCTGACCTTCTACATCCGATTCTTTCTCACCTACTTGCCCTTACTGGGGGTGAAAGGTCTCCTGGGGCTTTTTCTGTTAGTCAGGTATCATTCAAATTATAATTCCCCCGATTCCTCTGCCTATTTTTCTTTGATCCTTCACGCCAACTCTTCCGCAGCATTCCGGTTATCTTTCCCATCTGTTCCCTGTTCTTCTGTACCATTATACCTTATGGCAAAAGAGAGACTGTCTCTGTCAGGGAGATTCCTGGTGGCTGTTTTGTCAAGTGACAACTAACTTGAGTGTTTTGTACTGACTTGTTACGGAAGAGGTGCAAGGTCACTGATGGTTTTGTGTGTGTTTGTATGCACAGGTTCATTGAGAGTAACTGGTTTGTCTGGGTAACACAAATGAACCACATCCCGATGCACATCGATTACGATAAGAATGTGGACTGGTTCTCTACTCAGGTAAGACACTTCTCTTTCAAAAAAGCTGTGACTCTGAGTGGGATGAATTGTAGATCTGGGTACACAGTGCCCAAGACAGCCGATCACAGAAATGATGGGAACTGAGAGAGGAAAATTGAGTCTCTGTGAAATGACTGAGAGCAAAGAGAGCAGGTGCAGGAGTGTTACCCTAATGATCATTTAATTGCAGCATGGCCTTCTTGTATTGACTGCATCCTGTAACTCTTGGAGTTGCTGTATTCAGTCAGAAGGCAGGTGATAATAAGGAGCTGGTGCATGTTTACCATCATCTCCAACAAGTGCAAAGGAAGGTGTGTTCCTAGGACAACACTTACAAGTTATTTGTTTTGTTTTATTTTCCCTCAGCTCCAGGCAACCTGTAATGTTCATCACTCCTTATTCAATGATTGGTTTAGTGGACACCTGAACTTCCAGATTGAACACCAGTGAGTTGAAGCATGGGATCAGGAAATAAAGGGAATTTCGAGGAGGGCTAGTTACTCTAGGGCTGAAGATCCTACAAAGTCTCCATTTCTCTATCAGCTAGTACAAGGACAGAAGAAAATAGGGGTAAACTGTGCCCTTTGTATGGGAATGGAGTGGGAAATCCAAGTGAGGGACTAAGTGAGTGGCATGCCATGGGTCTGAGTTATGCAGCCTCCTGGTTGCACTTGTGTTGAGGCCGTGAGAATGGGACCACTGCACAGCTCGGATGGCTGTAGTCACCAGCGGAGGGTGAGACACTTGAAGGCTTTGGGCAAAGAGGATGGGCAGGAATTATGTGGGGTAGTAACTGCACCTCATTCTTTTCCCACAGCCTCTTCCCCACGATGCCTCGACACAACTACTGGAAGGTGGCTCCTCTGGTGAAATCCCTGTGTGCCAAACATGGCATCGAGTACCAGTGCAAGCCCTTGCTCACCGCCTTTGCAGACATTGTGCAGTAAGTGTCAATGYACAGCGCTCCCCAGGTGCAGGGCTGTCCGTGTTAGAGTGAACAAGCAATGGGCTTTGGAAGGGGAGAGGCGGCCAGTTGGGTTCACGGATCTGTGAAGGGCTGTAGACAGTGTAGGTGACCATGGAAATGAGTTGGGAAACTGGTTGGCCATAGCACTGGTTTCAGTAACAGCAGGCAGAAGGTGTCAGAAGTGGTGGGGAACTCCTTCTCATCCGCTCTGTCCATGGGATATTAGGTTGGATACCTTTCTGTCTGAGTAATTTCTAAGGAAAAAGGTGTTTTAATGGAAAAAGGCTTCAACTTCCAGTTCCTTTTTTTTTTTCCTTCCTTCTCTCACCTCCCACATTCATTTCTTATTCTTTGGAAAGTCCTGTGCTCCTGCTTGAGCTGTGTGCATTAGCCTTCCAATCTGCTTTGTGCAGGCCCAGGGAATCGTTCCTCCTTTGCCTTTCCAAGGGGCTCTAGTCTGAATCACCTGGTGAGAGAGGGTCTCCTTAGCTCAGTCCAAAGAGAGTTCTGTGGGGCTGCATTCCCTAGAATTTAATTTCCTTCTCATGCCGAATCTCTCATTATCTTGTTTCTAAGGAAATACACTTCTCTCTTTGTGTCCTGGCAGCTCTCTGAAAGATTCGGGGGAACTCTGGCTTGATGCTTATCTCCATAAATAAAAAAGAGTGGATCCCAGCAGAGCAATTCCCCACCCTCGTTGCCTCCTGTGGTCATCACCGTGAAGATACCTCACAGAGGAGAGAGCTGGCTAAGCCGGAGGTGGGGAGATGCCCCAGCTTAATTCCAGTGATGAATGTAATTAATTAGGCTCTTTTTTTTTTTATTGTATTTTATATTTTAAGATGTGTTCTTCTCGTGCTTCTTTCATTCCTCTTCTCTGCTGCTGGGTTACATGGAAAAAGTAGAATTGGAGGAGGCTTCACCAAGCAGGAAGCGGCTTTGGGACAGGAAACAGCTACCTTTCTGTCTGCTGATATTTCCTTTCCTGAGCTTATAGGGGATCATCTCCCACCTAATAGGTTTTTGTGAGATGGCTGCCACTATGAATCTACTAAGAGAGCTGGGATCAGAGAACAGAGGAGTTTTTGAGATGGGGAGACAGTAAGAAAAAATTGGGTAGATGCTACATTTTCAAATATTTGTATGCAATTAAATGGTGATAGAAATGCCCAAAGCGAGAGGGAGGAGGGAACATGAGAGCCTAAATGTATGCCTGTGGGTGTGGGGGAAGCGATGCAGGCAACAGTTCTGTAGAATTAAGAATTCTGTTCTGTAGAATTAAGTGTGAGAAGAAGAGACCAAACTAGAGGAGATCCTAGCTGAGATAGAGACATGGGAAAATGTAGGTTCCTCCCTCTGCAGGTAAGTGGATGGGGTGCCCTGGCGGGCCATGCTCTGTGGGAATGCCCATGCCCTGCTCATCCCTTTGACGGCGAAGGCCTTGGGGCTTCTTGCAGGTTTCTAGTTTCTCCCGGGTTTCTAGTTTCTCCTGGAGCTTCTGCAGGCAGTTGCCACAGCTTCATGCTTCTGAGAGCTGTTGAACCCATTACTCATAGTCAGAAGAGACAGAAACATGGGAAGTTTTTACTTGGGATCCCTGTGTGGCTACTGAGGAAGCAAAAGGGTAGTCAAATAGTCACTCTGTGGCYACCTGAAGCTTAATTCTTTTTGAATCTCTGTATTAATGAATGGTTTGTTAAGTGGAGAGGACTTCTGGGCCACGGAGGTGTTCCTATCCGAGCTGAGGGCAARTTTAGTGCAGTTGTTGGTGTTAGGGTTTAGGGAACTTTTAAAATGAATTTAATCCAATGAATTTAATCCTTCAGCCACAAGCCAGTGGGCTGCATTCCCATAGGCACGCATCAGCCCGTACATTGCTGGTCATCCTCTGCAGGAGGATGTGCCTTCAAAACACACCCCAAGAGGGCATATACTGCGTGCGCTGTTAGAGCATTAGCCTTACTGGATTTCTTTGTGGCTTACCATTTGCTACACCAATGTTACAGATGCCAAACAGGACATAGTGCTTGGTATAACACCAATGAAGGCGGCTCCATCAGCTATATATCTTTAAGCTTTTAACTTTTTTAACTGTGTTCTGGGGCCAGTTCCGTTTTCTACTGTCTTGTGTAGATAAACTAAGTGTCTTTCCATCTATTCTGTGCTCTTTTCTTTACCCTGTAACTAACGGTGTTCAGTCAGTTTGCATTACACAGTGTGCATGATTCCTTGACTGAAGTAATGGGCTAGCTGGGTTTTTGTTCAGTGTCTACAAGGAGGTTGGCTTAGGAGGGAATGGAAGACTTCCCAGGCCAAGACTGTTGTTAAGTGTGGAATGAAATTTTAGTGGAAATAATAAAATTACCATTAAATCATGGGTACTTGTTCTTAAAGGAAATCAGTACTAGTTACTTTTTTGGTCCCCTTTTTCTAGCTCTGTTTCTTTTCCCTCTCATTAGAACTACTGATGGAGGAAAGTCTCATAATAAAATTCCTTACTTTAGCAATTATTGCTGTCATCAGAGTAAAATATGTCTGTGCACGAGTCAGCACTCTCTAAAAATCTTTGTTTGATCATGGAGTATTGACCCTAAGCCACAAGGGGACAAAAGTCTTGCCTGACAAAAGTCTTGCCTGACAAAAGTCTTGCCTGACAAAAGTCTTGCCTGACAAAAGTCAGGACATCTCAACTCCTGTAGCAAAAGAAATGGACACATGGGGAGCTGCCACGCTGAAGGCAAGGAAGACTTCAAAAATCCTCCGTCGGGATTAAGGTATGAAGTGTTTTGCTATTGATAACCATCTCCCTAACTCAAGTTTTACAAATGTGAATTTTATCTGTTGGCACTTGGTATGTCCTTCGTAGCAAGAGGAGCTGGAGCACTTCCATGGCGTGCTTGTGCTGTGGTTGCTAGGCTTGTGAGTAAAGATGACTCCTGCTCTTCCCTGGCTGAAACACGAGCATGCAAGCAGATCTGCTTCAACAGACAAGAAGGATGTCTGTCTCGAGACAAGTTAGTGATCATCTCTGATGAAAGAGGCAACTGAACTTGGGTTTTTTTGAGCACTGGGTACCGAGTGCTGTAGTCTCAGAGATACTTTATAAAGAAGTGAAGGAACTTCCAATGTCTTTTGAAGAAGGCAACTCGACTTTGGTCGCTTTGAAGCTTACTTTCMAATGCTTTCCAGATGTACTGGGTAATGAGGTAAGTAGAAAACCTACTTGTAGGTCAAGAGGGCTGCAGGTATTCAATGATGTTCAAGTGCTTGGTGTTGCCCAGTGAGAGGCTTTGAATGTCCAGAAGCAAAACATAAATCATTTCGGTGTTTAATTTTGAAAATTTAGATGCCTTAGGGTTCAAGCTACCTCCAGGACTAGGATTATCCAGGAGACAATGGTTATGAGGATAGCAATGTGTCCAAGATCTGTTTTAGTGCCTGAGGCTTTGGAGGCTCTTGTTGTGTCTTCTCTAACACATTTTTAAAAAAGAAACGTCCACGATGCTTTCTGCAACACCACAACCTCCTAAGTTTACCATATAGTAGAAGCCCTGRAGCTTCACAGTTGAGCACCAGAACATATGTTAGGAAATAGCCACAGGATGGCAGCAAGGTGTCAGCACGGGAGAAGGACAGCGCACTGAGAACTGTGAAACAGGAGTATTGAAAGTCTCCAGTCTTATTATTTCACCCTTCTGCTCATTTAAAGGCAACATGAATGAACAGGTAAACATGAAATTAATGCATAACTCAAGGCAATTTTTGGCTCTCATAGGTGACAGCCATATCCCCATCTTGCCCTCTTTGTAAGTAGGACTGTGTTAAAATATCCTTCCCCATCAGTGGCTTGGAGGGCTTTTCCTTGTTTAGTCCAAACCTGTGCTACGGAACAAAAATGATTAGAAAGTTATGCTGAATATCCAGTCCAGACTTAACAAGGTTCAGTGACCAGCCTGGCTAGTTAGTAGCATTTTTCCATGATGGAGRAGCTGGAATTCACTGCCAGGATGAAGTGATTTGGAAGATACGGCCTGTTCATCAACCAGAGGTGAGACATAGCAGTGGAAATCAGTCTTGGAGAACGTTGCTCCTAGCCCAGAAGAGAACTAAAAGTGATGTGCTGTGACAACTGGCACAGCAAAATGCTTTTCCTCTTCCTCTCATCCACCGTTTGGACATGTTAGGAATAATCTGGATTTACAATACTTGCAAACCCACCTGTATGTGTTTCCTTCCTTTGTCCTGAGGAGGGCAACTGTGGTGTTTAAGGAACTCCTCCACCATCCCTGGAGGAARAAAGAAGAAAGGAAGGGCAATGATACGCCTGTGCATTGCAAATGGATGCAACTGGGCCTCTCAGGGATGGGATGATTTGTTGCTTCCTGGGATAAGATGCCTTATAGGGAATATAAAGAGATTTCTTAGCAGGTCAGGTGTACGTTAGCAATCAGCAACGCTGATTATGGGTGGGGGAAAAAAAAAGAGGAAGATTTCCTTGGTATGAGTATAACATTCGTATATTGAAATGGTCCCTGTGAGATTTATGTCTGCTAAAGAGATTGATATTAAGGGTTAAAAAAATGTGAGGAATTTCTCCAAAGAACATTTTGTAACAGCAGAAAAAAAATGCACCGAGGAGTGTTTRTGTGGGTATTTTTTTCCAGGCCTTTGGTCTGGATCTATAGATAGCATTAACTTAAAGTGTTCTTGCTCTCTCCAGCTAGAAAGTCTGACTTATCCATATCAAGGCTACATAGACACCCCATCTTTGGTCACAAGGACTATAGCTTGTCTTTT